CTTATTTTTGCTGTCCCAAATTTTACAAAATTTCTATTGTCTTCCCTCTTCCTTGCACCTCTGCTTCCTCCTTTCATTTTTCTTTTTTTTTCTTCAGTAGAATTACAATTTCTTGTTTTACATAATTCGGCTTAAATCGCATTATCTTTTCGTAGTTGGCAGTGTTTTCATTCCACTCATTGTTTTCGGCTTACCGCATCCTCACCGCTCCGTGAAGGTGTTCAGATCAATTGAATTTGTTATTTGTACACTAACCTCTACAGCAAACATTAACATTCGATGTTACTGGTGCAGAGGCACGTACAGTGAGCCTTTGCACTTCCATAAGTTATCCTAAAAGCAGCAGGCTAGACGCGAATTGTAGAGGAATGCCCAAGAATTGTATTTCTTACACACCAATTTAGTCTTTATACGCTGTAAAATTTTTAGCATTTAATAGTTATGTAGTATCCAGTACAAATTTTGGCTCATTTTTGACCACTGTGTTAAATGTCCATTCGTTGACCACTGTGTTAAATGCCCATTCGTTGATCACTGTACTAAATGTCCATTCTATGACCACTGTACCAAATGTCCGTTCTCATGTTTTTCAGCCGGAACGCCGTGGATGCTTTCCGTGTCAATGTTATACACGCGCGACAACAGGTTTTTGTCTTTTTACGTATGGTTTATTGTGTAGTAAAAGCTTGGTCGTGCTCTGTGTGATTATGGAGTGTTAACGTGACGTGGTGTAATTTGTTAGACATATAGCTTCACGACAGCCATTATTTTATTACTTTGAACGGAATAGTGTAGAGAAACGTATAGAGAGCAAGAAATCTATATGGGGAAGCTGTTTGGACATAATCGACGTTAGGTTGGTCTCTATGCTGGAGTTCGTGTAGCATCTTATAGTCGATCATTGACAGAACTAACCCACCGCAGTTAGCTTCAGCCGAGAATTGCTGGTCGTCAAATGACCTAGATCTTACATCGCTCGAGATATCATTCGAGTATTAACGTTGAAGAATTCAGTCTCATTTCTGTCATCGTTTGGAAGAAAACTACATAAAGATTGTTGAGAAAAGCGGGGCAGCATATACCGACCATATCAAGAGAAGTTTTGATGTTGAGGATTCATAAGTGTTGCGGAAACAACCGTTTAAAAAAAACCATACACCTCCCTACTTCCCTCATCACTCCCTCGTCAAGGAAATGTGGAAGGCATTCGCAGTAACCCCGAGAAAAAGCAACACCTGTCGGGGCACACAGCTTGCCTTAAAAATAGTTACCGAACGAAGTAATCTTCAACAGCAGCAGCTTATACTTGGTAGACATGTTCAGTTCGACTTGGATTTTCCGGAGTGATCAGTTAAATTTGCTTTTTTGACTACTAATTTATATGGGCAGTGATGCTTAGGAATGTTTCGAGTAAATAAACAAACAAATGAATATTGGAAAGAAGTTGATTTCGTAGAGGGATCACTGAAAACGTCAGGAGTCTATAGTAAGACCGGTTTGACCGAAGTTTTATTGCTTCAGCTGCATTGATGCTTCTGCAACCGGTAAACTTCTTTAAGGTACGAAGTCCAGTTACAAATATGGCCAGGACGTCATTTTTCCACATAAAGCGTGGAAATGTCTGGATTTGTGCTGTTACACGGCAAAATGTTAATGCTGCAATGGTTTTCGAATTTTTGAACAGGTAAGAAATTTTGCCCCACTTCTAAAGTTGGCTTATAAAATGAATATGTGATTGCAGGTTTTCCGATACCATGCAATCATATTTTGGGAAACTGAATGAGGAAAATGTTAAAAACAATTTTGTGCTCATTTATGAACTCCTGGATGGTATGTTTCTGTGATAATATTGTTACAAAATTTATCTTATGCTGTATGGATTTTTTTGCTAGCTGATTACTCAGTCAGTAATGCAGATGATGAGATATTGATTTTTTGTAACTTCTTTACTATTTGTATCCTTTTTTTTTTCAGAGATTCTTGATTTTGGCTATCCACAGAACACTGATCCTGGAGTTCTGAAGACATTCATAACGCAGCAGGGCATTCGAACAGCAGTATGTTTTTCTTTATTTCTTTGAGAGCAATCGATTATAGCAAGTTTTCAGAGCAGGAAATGGCATGCATGTACGTATTTGAATGACTCATAAGAATGATAAAATGCAGGTTAGGCGAGGAGTCTGGTACAGTAGCATAAATGTATCTAAGAGATTGCACTTGAGCTTTTCAGCTCTCTTTCTTGCTGAGGTCTTTTGTACGATTTTGAAAATACAATATAATGTTTAATATTCATAAAAAGCAGGCGCCGGTGGTAAGTTTACTGTTGTAATTGGTGTATTGGCGTAGGAATGCCGTTTTGTTGGAGTTATTTTCTATGTCACATGGTTTCGTCTTGTTCACATGCACTTTTTTTGTGTGTGTGAGTGCGTGCGTGGGCGGGAGGGGGAGCGTGCGTAGGTGTGTATGTGTGGACATGTGTGTGGGTGTGCGCGTGTGTGTGTGTGGTGTGTGTAAGTGTTTGTGAATACATTCAGAGAGGCATTATGTGCTTTTGCATGGAAACAGCTGCATGCAATTTTTTTGGGCTTTTGTGTTATACAGTTTTTTGCAGAGCAAAGAAGAACAGGCGCAGATTACTTCACAAGTAACGGGGCAAATTGGATGGCGTCGTGAAGGCATTAAATATCGTCGAAATGAACTCTTTCTGGATGTCATCGAATACGTCAATCTACTTATGTCCCAGCAGGGTTAGTTCAGTTGTTAGTTTCGCCAGGGAATGCTGTGTTACTAAATTTTCTAGAAATTTCCGCTTTTGTTTCTACGCTTCCGTCTTTCACTCTCTCTCTCCCTCTCTCTCTCCCTGCTTACTCTCCGTCTTCCACCTCTTCTTGGTGAAGATTTTTCTCCGAGTTGCTGCATTTCATAAAAGTGTGCTGTTTTAGGCCAAGTTCTTTCGTCACATGTAGCTGGAAAAGTGGCAATGAAATCATATTTGTCCGGAATGCCGGAATGCAAATTTGGCATCAATGACAAGCTTACAATTGAGGGTAAAGGACGGGCCGGTAGCGATGATGCTGCAAAATCGTTTGTTTTCATTTTCTGTCCATTTTATATCAAGTCACTTGTTCTTGGCATTTTTTTTTAATACTGAAGGTTTATTAATTTGCTTCAGAACTCGTACATCTGTGGCGATTGATGACTGTCAGTTTCATCAGTGTGTCAAATTGACCAAATTCGATACCGAACATGCAATAAGTTTTATACCACCGGATGGCGAGTATGAGTTGATGAGGTAAACGCTCAG